AGATACATTGAAGCAAGAATGTGATTTTTAAATGAGAAATATAGAATCGTGAACATGACTTTAGCATTCTCCCACCTCTAATCATTTAAATTTCTATATCAAGAGCACAATTAGTGTAAACCTCAAGCTCAAGTCTAACAAATCTAAAAAAGAAAAAATAAAAAGTAAAGTAGGATAGGTAAACACTGTGAGACTTCAAAACAATCTTATATCATATTTCTAGAATTCCAGGATTCTAAAGTTCTTTGACCTAAGATACTCCCATTATGATATGAAAAATTTCACAATTTAGTGAAAGTTAAATTTTGCACTGCTAGATTTAAAAATGAGTATATTGTTAACTCTGAATGGTCATAATAATAATTGAGAATGCTGAAGGTGATTGAGAAGCATTTCATTCAGCTCTGTTCTCCAGAAAATAGTATGAAAGTAGGAATGGTTACACAAGAATACCTCAAACCCTCTGAATTAGCTAAGGTACTAATTGTCCACAAGTGTGTATTATTAAGTAGAATCAAGTGTTTTTATTTTTTTTTATTTTTTACTAAGATCAGGAGACACATATATTCTTGATCAAATCACTGCCTTGATTTCAGATGCTCATATCATTGGTGTGAAAGAGATTTCAAATATTCATATATGCTTATAGATGGTGAGACATGAAGAGATGTGAAGAGTGGTTGGTAGGAATGGAATAAACATTTGCCTGTGAATTTCACTTAAATTATGCCCTAAAGTCTTTATTTATTCGTAGGGAGGTTGAAACTTGAATTTACTTTGGAAACATCCCTTGTTTCAGGAAAAGAAAACAAAACATTTGTATAGTATTTCAAAATCCTCTTGCCCTACCATTTACTTCAGTTAATTGAGTGGTGACCAATTCTATGTTAACTTTGTCTAGTTTAGTGCAAGTAAAATTGAGCATGTTTTGGTATGACCAGGCCTTTCCCTTTGGGGCTGCTTGAAATAAAAATGGGATCCTAAGGGACTCCACTCTACATACATGGATGCACTCACAGCTAAAAAGGAAGAGCATTTAATCTCCATGGAGATGTTAACACCCTTGGTGAGTGGATGATCAAGGACTGATGGGTAAATGCTTCCCTCCTTTCTTCCCTGGGTGGACAGTTATGAAATAATTTCCATAAAACGGCTTATAAGACACAGACAGAATGGAAAACTATTCACCCACAGAAATGCAAACTCTTTATCACTTCTTTGTACTGAATTTTTCCCCATCTCTGTTGAATTCCCCTGCCCTTTTATTCCTGCTCCCCCAAATAAATTACTGCAGACAAGTGTTTTTCCTTAGGGCCTACTTTTAGGGAACTTGGACTAAGAAAACAAAACTAATAGGCAACCAACGGAATGGGAAAAGATAGTTTCAAATGACATGTCAGATAAAGGGTTCATATCCAGAATCTATAAGGAACTCACCAAACTCCACACCCGAAAAACAAACAACCCAGTGAAGAAATGGGCAGAAGATATGAAGAGACACTTCTCCAAAGAGGACATCCAGATGGCCAACAGACACATGAAACGATGCTCAGCATCCCTCCTCATCAGGGAACTACAAATCAAAACCACACTGAGATTTTTTTTTTTTTAAATGTTTTATTTATTTCTAGGAGAGAGAGAGAGACAGCGTGAGCAGGGGAGGGTCAGAGAGAGAGGGAGACACAGACTCTGAAATAGGCTCCAGGCTCTGAGCTGGCAGTCAGCACAGAGCCCGACGCGGGGCTCGAACCCACGAACCGCGAGATCATGACCTAAGCGAAAGTTGGACGCTTAACCAACTAAGCCACCCAGACGCCCCTAAAACTTCTTATTGGTGATTATATTCACCTAATCATTTGTGTTTTTGAGCTTGCTTCACTCATTAGAGTGGCTAGCAGATTATGACATCATATTACATATTATATGTATCTTTCAAGGATCAGCTTTTGTTTGTATATTTTTTTTAATTTTCTATAATGTATATTAGTAGTTTCTCTTTTTATAGTGTTTCATTTTGTTTGCTTAATTTATTATACATGTATGTTTTATCTTCTTCAGTTGGACAGTTTCTTATACTATTTTTACTCTTTATTTTTTATTTATGAAAATGCTTTTGGTTATGGCTTTACCAATGTTCCTTGTACTATTATTTTTTCCCTTGGGCTCCTTCAAGTTCAGTGTTTAGGTTAGTGACCTCCCATTCCATCTTTATTGAGTGTTTCATATATTTTTTTCTGTTTATTCTTATTACCTTATCTTCTATGAGTATAATGTTTCTAATTATGTTTTTTTTTGTTACACAAGTAAGGATTTCATTGAGTTTCATGTGTTTTGTTTAGTTTTTTACTTAATTATAAACATTTGATTATTTTAATTTATTCCTTGGCAACAGCTTTCTAGTAAATGTTCTTCATCTGATGATAAGATTTGATGCTTGTTCACTTTCATATAGTTTTTCTCATAATACTTTTGTTGATTATATCCATGTTACTTTCTTTAACTCATGATTAACTAAGAACATTTTTCACAAATTAGTAATTTTCAAGAGGTTTCTGTGTTTTCACCTGTGTGTCATACTATGGAGGACACGGTGGCCTTGCTTCCACAGGTAGACTTACATTTACTGTGTGATTCTTTGAGAAGGTCCGAAATTTTGCTTTTCAGAAGTAATTTTGATGCAAAATACTTTAGCATTGGTCCTGCCCATTCTGGTTTCTGCATTCATTATTTCAAATGACAGACATGTTTTGTACTATAAGTGAGGGCTTCACTTTCAGAAAGTATTTATTTCCTGGTACTTTGTACGATGTGGTGCAACTGAGCTCTCTTACCCCTCTCTGTGCTTCTTTATTTCACTTCTTTCCTCAAGACTTTGAACCAGATTTATTGTTTTTAGTAACCATTATGCTTATTTTGGAATCTGAAGGTTTTATATATCTTCTTGTTTTTTTATAAATTGACTTATCAGGGTTTCTTAGTTGTTGCTTTCCTTGTTCTTTTTGTTGCTTTTTAAATAATTTCTAAGAGAATAAGGAGAAAGATGCTGAACTAAGTGACCATGTTTCTACCAGAAATTTTTGAAATAATTGGAACACATATAAATACTTAAAACTGTTAAGAGACATGTAACCCTTTCCATCTGGCATGAACCTGAAAGTTGAAAAGAACATTTTTCAGAGCAGAAAACTGTATTAATCTGCATCATTTAATTTTATAATTATACAGTTATATAATTTTATAATATTAATTATATAGTAATAAAAATAATTGACACCTGATTTTAAAAATAACTACAAGTGAATGATTATCCCAGAGGCACCACATGTTACTCTGTTTCCATGCACCACAATTCTAAAACACTGAAGGAAAAATATGACTTAAAATTAAGGAATAAATTATACTATAAATCAGCATGAGGTGAAATTAAAGACCCATATGATGATTTTTCAGAAATCATGCATTGCTCTTATTTTAAAGTAAAATAAATGAGAAATTTTTTTTCACTTGTGAATTTGTTTTCCTTGCTAAGCATTAGAAATACTGGCCTTCTGCAAATTTCACTCCACATTTTATTTCCTATCTCAACTCTGTGAGCTAATGACTCTTCCTCATGCATGTACAAGCAGAGTTGCAATCCTAAGTGGAACCATTTATATAATTCCTCACTCAGTTACTTACCTATCTATTTAACTTTTCTGGCACATGTGGGAGAAGATCCCTGGGCATTCCTGCTCAATTTGTGAGTTCTATGACATAATTCATGATCCCTTACAGTAACATGACAGAATGAATCTTGGGTGGATATAACAAGCAAAATCAACTACACTGTAGAAAGCAATATGTGGCCACATAGGTCAAATCGAGTTCTACCTTTGTGTCCAGTTTTGAGCTTTACTTTTAAATTTATTTTTAATGTTTATTTCCTTTTGAGAGAGAGAGGGAGATATGAGCAGGAGAGGGGCAGAGAGAGAGGGAGACACAGAATCTGAAGCAGGCTCCAGGATCTGAGCTGTCAGCACAGAGCCTAACACCAGGCTCGAACTCACCACAAGATCACGACCTGAGCCCAAGTCAGATGCTTACCTGACTGAGCCACCCTGGCACCCCGAGCTTTTCTTTCAATTCAATTAAATCAAACATCTCAATTCTTTTTTCTTTGTTTGTTTTTAGCAATTACAACTAAATTAAAGAGATGATTGCAGGATAGGAAAGCTGCTGAGAACTGCATTTGGATTGAGCTTCGTTGTTAAGTGTGCACCAAAAAGACTATGGAAAAAATAAATCTATGATATATTATCACAAAAATTAGTTTAGTACGTTTGAGAGTGTTGTAAAAATATTGTGACTACTGGGGCGCCTGGGAGGCTCAGTCGGTTAAGTATCTGACTTGGCTCAGGTCATTATCTCACAGTTGGAGAGTTTGAGCCCCATTGGTCTCTGTGCTGACAGCTCAGAGCCAGAAGCCTGCTTAAAATTATTTGTCTACCTATCTCTGCCCCTCCTCTGCTCATGTTATGTCTCTCTCTCAAAAATAATTAAATATTTAAAAAAGAACAAAAATAATATTGTGACCATTATAGCAGATAAGTTTGTTGAGCAGTGGTCAATTATTAAATCAGAGGCAGCCTAGAGGGCTAATTGGAAACAGCTGGATCAAACAGTATCTTCGTATTTTTCCACTGAAGAAAGCAGTAGCGGTCATCAAGGTATGATAATATTTGCTATGGGAAAGAATGCATTCTATCATGATAATAACAGTGGTAATAGTAGTGATAATAGTGACAGACAAATCTAAAACTACTGGCTTCAAAGGTAAGCAAATTGATAAAGTGATAAAAATCATAGAGTCTCAGTAGAGTGAAAAACATTGGGCCTTGGGGAGCGGAGTGTTAGTTGTGTTCTCTGATGCTGATTTGCTCTTATGCAAGGGGGTGTCTTCCTTTAGACCATTAAATTAACAACAGACCAGGTATAAAAGAGACAAACAAAAGGTGGTTTACCTTTTAGAAGTCTTGGGAAATTTAAGATTCATTCTTATTCCAGGTGAGCTTCTTGAAACAGGACACTTGCTGTTGCACTCTTCAGGGCTCCAGAGAGCTTTATTGTGAGAACCTTAGGAAGACAGATAAAAGACTCTTCTGCATCTCTTCCAGGGGAACCAACCTTTGTTTAAAAGACTGTGGGGCTGAGAGTTCCCTAGAAGTGGAGAGTTTTTAAAATATTCAAAACCAATCAAATCGTTAAGGGAATTTGTCCTCCAAGATACATGTTTTTGTGCATGTGTTGAGGTGGTTGAGACAACCGGTTTGGGATGTAAGAAACAAGTTTTCAACTTTGTAGCAAAGTTGCCAAATATTATAGTAAAGGAAAAGGGCACATTCAAATATTTGAACTATAAACATTTGTCACATGTAATTTACAGTGCTAGTACTGGGACTTTAAAAATTTATAATATGTCTCTGACCTTATGCTATTTATCTAGTAAGAGACACAGGACTTATACACAAAAAGCAAATAAAACCCAGAATAACGTAAGTCATCTGCCCAGCTTTCAATCCCTGAGTTCAGGACTCTGATTTTTTGTTCCTGTTGAGCTATGGGCATTTTATTGTTCTAGACTGTTTAATAAAAGGAGTGACAACAACAGCAGCAAAGCCAAAATGATTCATAACATCAGTAGAATATTTGTGTGTATGTGTACATTACATAGAGTTTGGTTTTACTGGAGAACAAATTAACATATAGTAAGAGAAATTTTAAAGAGTCAGGCTTAGAGAGGGTGTTGCATGGTATGCCTAATACAATTCACTTAGTATTCTAACAACAGGTACTTAGTGAATGGGGATATGTTGCAGGAGAGGAACCTTGATTCAGAAGGACCAATATTATCTAAGAGAATGTTGTCAAAGCCTATCCCTTATCCCACTCTGGAAAGAGATTTTCATTATCTTGACTATCCCAGAATGTAAGCACATCGGCTCCAGGAAAAGAAATCCATCTCTTCAAGGTTATTTGTTTATACAAACATCTTTGAAAACATAGTCTAAAGGATATTAGATGTTAATGCTGAGATGTACAGAAAGATGGGAGGCAAGCAGAATGGTCTTTCAAAACAAAATTCTTCTCTAATCTCTCCTACTCCCACTGATCTTGTTTAGATGTTTCTCTGTGCAGACTGTTCCCTCCAATAAAGAGTAGATTTCCCAAATCCCAGAAGACTAACAGATAAAATAACAGATGCACATTTAAATTTGAATTTCTGATGACCAACACCTTTTTTAATGAATTTTATGAATTTTTTAAGAATTAGTATCTTTCATGCAATATTTGAAACATATTTAAAAATATTCTTTGCTTATCTCAAATTAACTTTTAACTGGGTATTATGTATTTTATTTGCTAAATCTAACAACCCTAATAATGCCTCATGAAGCAAATGAAACATAGGCTTCGTGCCCCTTTTTTGAACAAGGCTCATCTAAGGCACTGGTAGGGAGTCTAGTAACCTTATATTTGTAATTTTGAACCAGTTTTCTTCAAGAGACACCTCCGAATTCTTCTCGCAATAGAAAATCTTATTTTCAACTGCAACGGTCTATCAACCCATGCAAAATAGTGTAACTAAGGAGGTCAGACACTAGTGCAGAACTTCAAACTAAGTAATACATTCATTTGCCTTTGTCTTTGTCTCTAGCTTTATTAAAATCAAATTAGATTACTGAAATTGCTGCCTGCCTTTACTATTATACTTAGTCACTTGTGACTCAAACCAAATGCCTAAGAATGACATTTGACAGTATCTATAATTAGCGCCTGAAAGCAACAGTTTCTCTGTGCATGAAAACAAAATCTTACCCCTGTAAACAGCACACTTAGCAATAAAGAGAACTTTACTCATAAACAAATTTGAATGAATGTAGGGAATATGCTAAACTGTCTGTACAACTATAGCCAATCTATAAGATTATTAACAAATACATTTTGAAAGCTCACACTATACATAATCTATTTCTGGGAAAAGAACCATGGCTAACTATAATCTATTACTTTTTTTAAACTTGTAGGTATAGTATATACAACAGTTATTACAAAGACTTCATTTTGATATATGATATAACAAGACACTTACTGTTTGAAAACTTTTTGCTACTATTATTTTTAAGGGGGAAATCCCTGGTAATATTTTAACATTTTCTCTTCAGACTCTAAAAGAAATTTGAAAGTAAAAACTAATCAACCATAATTTGATCCTACTAATTCAAAGATAATTTATAGCTTCTAGCATTCTGGTAGGTGCTGATAACTTTTAATGGGATTAGCAATGGTGTGTTGGAGCTGACTCAAATTAATTCATGAGACCCACTTTGAAACTTATTGCAGTTTTCTTTTCTCTCTTCTCCTCTTACTTTTATTCCTTACTACCTTCCTTCAATTCCTATCTTTTTTTTGTAAAGAAATTTGTCAGTGATGAGCTATTCTACTTCAAATTTTCTAATTTATTTGATCATTGCTTTCCTACTGATAATATTGTGATGAATGCTTAGCCTGGTAATGTTGACTTTTAGCACAGCCATAGCACTGTTGTTCAAAAAACAATACTGTCTGGGCCTCTCTCCTCAGGGAAAAAATTGGAGCAGTGTAGTTAATAATATAACTACATCTTTGCAATTTGTAGTCATCTGGGCTGCAGTGTGAGTTGATGAGAGCACATATATTCTCTGTTGCAACTATTCAACCCCGCTGTACTGCCAAAACAGCCATAGGCAATATGTAAACAAATAAATATATTGTGTTCCAATAATACTTTATTTGTAGACAGACTTGAATTTCATATGATTTTCACATCTCACAAAATCTTCTTATTCTTTTAATTTTTTTAACATTTTAAAAATGTAAAAATCGCCCTTACTTTACAGGCCAGACAAAAACAGTCTGATGACCAGATTTGATCAGGTTGAAGAACATCCTTCTAAAGAATGAATGGGTAAGCCAGGAAATTAAAGGAGAAAGAAAAAAAAAAGATGGAAGCAAATGAAAATGAGAACAAGATAGCCCAAAACCTCTGGAAGGCAGCAAAAGTAGTCTTAAGAGGGAAGTAAATAGCGATATAGGTCTACATCAAGAAGTAGGAAAGTCTTATACACGCAACCTAAACTTAAGGGAACTAGGAAAGAAATAGCAATTAAAACTTGAAAGCAGGAGAAGGGAAATATTAACGAGCAGAGCAGAAATAAATGATATAGAAACAAAGAAAGTACTAGAACAGAAAAATGAAACTCTAAGTTGTTTTTTTGAAAGAATTAATAAAATTGATAAACTCCTAACCAGGCTTATCACAAAGAAAGGAGAAAGGAGCCAAATAAAAAAAATCACGAATGAAAGAGATCACAACCAACACGATAGAATACAATTATAAAAGAATATTATGTAAAAGTATATGCCAAATTTTAGACAATTTGGAAGAAATGGATAAATTTCTAGAAACATATATACCACCCAAACTGAAATAGAATGATTGTATTTTCTGAAGAAGAGATTTTCTTTAAAAATAAATAGAGTCCTAAGTGGCTCATCAGTTAAGCCTCCTACTCTTGATTTAGGCTTGGGTCATGATCTCATGGGTTTGTGAGTTTGAGCCCCACATCAGGCTCTGTGCTGGTAGTGTGTAGTCTGCTTGGGATTTTCTCTCTCTCCCTCTTTCTCCGACCTTCTCTCACTCCCCCTCTCTAAACGAACAAATTAATGAATTAATGAATTAATAAGTAAGTAAATAAATAAATAAATAGAGTCATGCCACCTCAGTGGCTCAGTTGGTTAAACATCTGAATCTTGATTTTGTCTCAGCTCATGGTCTCATGGTTCTTGAGATCAAGCCCCACATCAGGCTCTGTGCTGACACTGCAGAGCCTGCTTGGGATTCTCTCTCCCTCTGTCTCTCTCTCTCAAAAATAACTAAATAAGCAATTGATAGATAGATAGATGATAGATAGATAGATAGATAGATAGATAGATAGATAGATAGAATAATTCTATTTTAATTGATGGTTACACAGTTCCTGATGGCATTTTGGACTAATGAGTTAAACACAATATATTAGATACTCAAGTAAATTTATCTAATATCCATTTACACTAAGTTATGCCCTAAGGGGTCATAAATCCACCATGTTTATAAGACTGATACAAATTAAAGATAAGATTCTGTGCTTTCCAAGGGTATATTAGTATTAGGATAATACTGACTGACCTATTCAATATGTTTGTAGCTTCATAGGCTAATATATGATATATTTGGGATTTCTTTGAGGGCTAGTCATAGTCTACCTGGATGATGGTTAAATTATTCCTGTCTATAAATAATATATTATTCCCACCTAATATACTTTAGTAAGGCTGTTTACTAATTATTTTAGGGTAGTGGCAAATTTGTCTCAACTGTTTTTAATCCTTTAGTGTTTTGAACACATTAGCCATGAGATGTAGCTATTATTGTTAATAGTAATAATAATCATATTGAGAATTATCTTTTTATGTTTGGCTCCTATCATTATTCTCTGTGGAGTGTCTCTCTTTTCTAGATGTGCTTGTCAAAATTCTATATGTTTCAAGAACCCAGAACAAATGTGTCATTCTTATTGAAATTTCTTTCAGTTTCTTATTCTAGGAGCTACTTCTTGCTCCTTTGAATACTTTCAGAGTGTTTCTAGGGTGTATTTGATGGTGTTATATCTTCATGTCATATCATCATGTTATATCTTGTATCTCTCCCAATTAATTTTATTTTCAAAGATTTTAAACCTACAGAAAATTAAAAGAATTATATAATTATTACCAAATACCCTTCACCTAAATTTGTTAATTATTGGTTGTTTAACTTACCTATTTCTATACATATTTTTTACTATTTTTGTGCTATCTAAAAGTAAATTGAACATTTCATGGCCTTTCTCCTATAAATACTTCTATGTGTATTCCCCAAAACAAGAGTATTCTCTTATGAAGTAATAATACAATTATCATATAAACAAAATTTACCATTGATACTATGATATAAACTAAAATAAGGTCCTTATTCAAATTTAAATAACAGCATCCTTCCCATCTGCTCTCCTCTTCCTCCTCAGGTTTATCAGGTAATCAAGGTTTATACATTGAATTAATTGTTTTGTTTCTTTGATGTCCTTTTTCTAGAGTAGTATCCTCCATTTTTCTTTCTTGATATGTATGTTTAAGAATGCAGGTCATAAGGCACCTGGGTGGCTCAATTGGTTGAGCTTCTGACTTCGGTTCAAATCATGATCTCACAGTTTGTGGGTTTGAGCTCCACGTTGGGCTCTATACTGACAGCTCAGAGCCCAGAGCTTGCTCAGATTCTGTGTCTCCTTCTCTCTCTGCCCCTTCCCCACTCATGCTCTCTCTCTCTCTCTCTCAACAATAAAATAAACATTAAAAAATTTTTTTTAAAAGAATGAAGTCAGTTGTCTTCCTCATAATAAGATTCAAGTTAGACATTTGGGTACAACACTACGTGGTTGATATCTCATCCCTAAGTTGATATAATAAAAGTCATATAATATCAGTATGCACAATTATCAGTGATGCAATATCTAATCACCTGGCTAAGTAGTATCCTCCAAATCTCTCAACCGTATATGATATCTTTTCAGTTAATAAGCAATTTGTGAAGTGATATTTTAAGATTTGTGCATATTCTGTGCCCCAGTACCTTTTACTCACGTATTTTTTTTTTTTGTTCATTGGTGATATTGTTTAAATAAATTATATATTTTAACATCAGACAACTCTTGTTTTCCACCTTACATACTCTAGGTAGTGGTCTCAGGAGCATCAGTATCAACATCACTGGGGAACTTGTTAAAAATCAAAATCTCAGACAGTATCAGACATACTGAATCAGAAACTCTGGGGTGGAGCCAAGCAATATGTGTCTTAGCAAGGCCTCCTGGTGATTCTAATGTACAATGAAGTTTAGGAAACAATGATTTAGAACTACATTTTATTCCAGAAGTTGTCATGGCTACCATCTGTGCATAAGTGTAACTTGACAATACCTTAGACCACTGTACCTAATACTTTTAACTTTCTGCTTAGGGTTTAACTGCCTCTTTGTAGGATATTTACTCTCCCATACTCAAAAATGGAACACCAGGAAGTTATTAACACAGAGGACAGCTCTTGAACAATCATACCAATAACCAGTAGATAAGTATTTTCCTCTTTAGTGCTTTAATGGTACAACTCATAGATGTATTTTTGCAGGATTCTTCAGAAGCTCACAGCTTAATGAACCCTCTGTTGGCAACAGGGAAGATCAATTCAATAATGCATCCTTGGATTAGTTTTTTTTTTTCTTTTTTCTTTCAAGTCTTTCTATATCCCCTTATCTCTTCTCTGAATTACTTCCCAAAGTAAACTACCTTCATAAAAGCCATTGGTTTGGGATCCGCTTCCTATGAATAACAAAAGATAGGATATTTAGAATCAGATGTGGCACTGAAAAATCCCATGCTGGGTATGGTATGATAGAAATGTGTCACTCACTCATCTGTCACATGGTGATGTTAAAGATTATTTTACCAGTGGCAATCAGGGAGATGATAACTTCTGGAATATAACTGTGTCACAATTAGCAATATTCTACCTGAAGGTGCTTTGGTTTTAGAGCCAGATATTCGTTGAAGTATGGGCTTATGTCGTAGTGGGGCACTGAAAGACATGGGGGCAATGGTAATTATAAAATTGTGAATTTAGATTATTTTTTTTAAGATGAAAGCCTTTAAAAAGCAAAGGACATATTTAGATTATGGCACTTAAAATTCAAGGCATACTGTAAAAGTCAAAGTCTTCCACAGCAGTATTTAAAGACATTATGTCCTACAGGGTTAACTAGGCTGAAAATTGGGCCTGGGAATTAATTGTAAGTGTAGTGGAGTTTCAGGGGATATTGAGTGCATAGCATTTACAGGTCCCTTAGTTTAATTCAGCTCCCTGATAGGAAAAGATTAAAACTCTGAGGCTCATCAGAATAAAGATATTTGAATGATGACCTAAGATTCATGAACCCATAATTTGCGTCTTGAATCTCTGTGTTGATAGAAGTAACCCCATCCCATTAGAAAAGGAGTCTCTTTCCTCACGCACTCCTCCCTTATCTAAATCCTATAAAGGGCTCAGAAACAGATGCTTGCCCTCCTCAAGATTCTCCTCTATTCTGTTCATTGCCTCTAAGCCAATAACTAAGGTCAAGTCACAGCACAGCCCAAAGGCCAATGTAATTCCATTTCTGGGAGGAAATGGTAGGTATACCAGAGAATTATAAGACTTGCTTAATATGTCTCTGGCAGGAAGTGAGTGAACATATATGAGTTTTGATCTTGGAAGTATCAGCCAAGGGAATATAGAATGTAAATCTGCATAGGAGAGAAATTATTCATTCTTTAGTGATTCAGAAATTTATGTCCTGTCATGAACCAAATGCTGGTTCTGATATGTTGTTGAGATGTCCGTTTAAAGATGTCCAGTTAAAGCCTGCAGTTGGATGATGGCTGTGGTAAATAAAATAGAGATGATAGAATTGCCCGAGCAATGAATTGGTGAAGTGTCAGAAGACTAAAAGAGGTTTGTTACTTGACTTATACTACCAGTAAACACCTAGAACTAAGGAGTAGATGGCTGGTGGCCTTTGATGTAGTAGAAAATTAAAATTCTTCCCCCAGTTTTTGGATATCAGTCAGTTCTTAGGGTTACAGTCCAATGATTATAAGATAATGAGTCCTCTTTAAGAAGAATTGTACAGTGTCACCATAAGTATAGCAACAATTTCCCCCCAATATTTTGTAAAGCCACCTGTGGCCAATTGCAGGTAAATTGTACTTTGAGAAAGGGATGTATTCAGATATTTCTAGAGTACACACTTTATCGAAGGACCTATAAGACTGCCAGTTTTCT